AACTGAAAATATGGATGGAGGACAACAGAGCTGCTTCATGGAAGAAGAACCTCAGCTTAGCCTGTTAGCTTTAGCATTGGCCCCAACGCTATCACCATATATATGTATTAGCTCAGCGCTACACATTCTCCTCTCATCACTGAGGTCCTCCATCCATATTTTCAGTTACAGGCTGAGTCATTTCTGCCTTCTCCTCTCTGTCAACGCTCTCTGGTTTCATTTAAAAGASTCGATCATCAGATATTGTCCAAGATTAACCTTCAGGATGGATACAGCTCGCTAGTAGCCTCGCACTGATGACCTATCCATGTCATCTTTTACCCAGAATGCTTTGCCTGTAAATAAAATGGCCCCATCCATGTTAAAATATATTTGTAAACTTTTAGTTTAAAAACAATAAAAACTGAACATCCTACAGTATTTTTAAAGTCTTTATTTTATAGTTAAAATATATGTTTATTAAATAAAGTCTAATGTTACAACTAATCATGGATCCCTTAACTGCAGTAATTGCTAAGTGGCAAATAATAATTAGYGAAAGTTTTTCTCCCGGTTAATTCCGCACGATATGATTTTGCCCCTGTGATGGACTTGCGACCTGTCCAGGGTGTACCCCGCCCCTCACACTGTGACTGCTGGATATGAGCACCAGTGACCCACGCAACCCTGAAAAGGAAGAAGCGTGTACAGAAAATGGATGGATGGATGATTTTGCCCAACTCTGGCATTGAACCAGTATCTGCCAAAAGCATAAAGTTGATGAAACAAACTTTCTTTCATGCCTTAAATTTCAAAATAAATTGAACAGCACTGCTTTTTTTTCCAAATTAAATAAAATCTGCTGATCTCTCTGGCTACAAGGTGTTACAGTACAATAAAAATAAAAATGAAAACATTTGGACATTAAGTAAAAATGTAATATTACAAATCAAAACTGTAAAAGACWAACTTTTCACTGGTTTATTAGTGACCACAAAAATCCTATTTTCTTTCATTTTCTGTATRTATAACCCAAAAAGTAAGGATGTTTGCATTTGGTAGATTCTTTGTTGTAGCAGTGCTTCCTGGAAATAAATCTTGTACCTGATTGGCAGCACCTGGGGTTACCAGAAGTTCAACAGTAAAATAAGCTGTTTAACAGAGACAATTTGGCAAAATTTTAATGTGCGCAACCCACATATTCAGATCTACTGTTCATCCCACAAATGYATGTTCCTTACAAATGTGGCAACATTCAAAAGAGAAATTAATAGGCTTTTAAATAGTTTAAGATTTATTGTCAAGAACCTTTTGTTACAACAAATAATTAATCTACTAAACGAAAATGTCCCTAAATTTATATTTATTAAGTGTATTTAGTCTAACTGAAGGCAGGCGCTTATTATTTTCTTCAGAAGTCTCTGCTTCTGTAGAATCTGGGTTGAACACAGAGCTACAAATGTCACAAATAGCCTCGGTGCTTTAAAGTGAGCCAGCAGAATGGATACATTGTGATGGGTTTTCTCTYTGGACAGTGACTTGGGCTTATTTTTAAACATTCTGATGGAGAAGACTTAGAGGAGGTACATGCTTTCCAGTGAATAGAAATAATTAATGAAGACTGTTTTAATAGAAATCACCAGAAGCCAGCTCAGCGACTCTCGGTCATGACTCTTTCTGCTTTTGCTGCTTTTTCTTATCTGCTTTGTTGTATTTGTATCCTTTCAAATTTCCTCATCCCTCTTTTTTCTCTGTTTTTTTCCGCCACAGGCTCRAGAACATGTCTTTGTGGAATTTAACCACCAGCAGCTCCTTGAGTTCTACAGCAAGGTTTGCTATGTTTCATGTGTTTATGTATACGAAGGCTGCATTTCTTCCTGATTTGCAGATCTTGGCCTGACAACATCTCACCTGTCTGCTTCATCCGCAGATACATTTCCCTATATCTATCTGGTTTTTTTTTTGTTGCGAATTTTTTTTGCATGTGTTCCTGTCACTGCTTTCTTTTTCTTCTAAAATTTTCAAATCCCTCTCTTTCTTTYAGCTTGAAATCGTGCAAGGACAGTTGGATTCCCTGACTTGATGCCTGGTGCTCTGTGTACAACCACACCCACACAAACATCATGTTGTTAGTGTTGATGCTGACAGCTCCACCAGCTGTTGTAGGCTGAGCATTTCCAGTCTTTGCTATGATTTATCAGAGAAAAATGTCAAATATAGAGAGAGGTTTTTTTGGTACCTTTTTGAACTTTTCGCAATCCACGTCAGTGCTCAAACTGCAAGCTCAGTGTGAGAAATGTGATGGTTTTTGGATTCTTATAAAGGAACATTTAATATTACTTGATGCTGTATACATTCCTCACATTACAACATAATGTATCTGTTAAGTTGGAGGAAAAAGTGCCATTACTCAGTTGTCTTAAAAGTGAATTTGCAACTTGTGAGGAAAACAGAATGTCAACATGTGACTTTGTGTGCAACAAATGTGTTTTGTCAMTTTAGGAATGAAAATAAAGGATGAGCTGAAATCCATCCAGGCTGTTGTTTTGTTTGGTGAAGGCTCATTATTTCTCATTAAGACCAAAGCTGGATGCTGCTTCAACAGATGGGAGTTCTGGGATCCACGGCGGACCTTCGGTGTGTGAGCGTGTCTTCGTTTGAACSAGTGTTTGTGTGTTCCTGTACAGATTGATGGACAGATTGACATCTTCTTGTTCATAGGTTAATGTGTTTATGTCCATCGTTCCAAATTCTGCTCTAATTTTGAGGCTTGATTCCTAGATGTTTTTCTTTTAAGCTCAAATAAATGATCGAATCCTTGGTACAGATAAAAGAAAGTAATTTCAAAAGTAGCCAAACTCTCTTTAAATTATCATATAGTAAACTGTGCCCTGAATCAACTCCGTCCTCTTATTATAATTTTTTTAGTCCAATTGACAATTTTTTCCTAACATGTGACGGCGCCTGCAGCAAGAGCGAGCGCCGTGTTCCTCAGCGTGAGGAACAGATGGCGAGGCCGAGCAGGGACGGATGCCTGGAAAGCAAAAGACAAGGAAAAAGTCTCACGCATCAACGACTCACACCGAGACGTATCAGAACTCGGCACAAAGAGTCCCAGTAAGTGAGGGGAAGTAGTTTAATGCTGGTTTAGATCTCTGCGTGTTTGTGTCAAAGCTGTTGACATTCCCAGCTGATGAGTCATTTTTCACTCATTTTAATATCTGGGACAATTTAAAAAAAAGGTTTGAGCCTGTTTGATGGTACCAGAAACTGATGCTCTCAGTTTATTTGAATGGATTGATAAAATGAGGAAGGTGAGGCTCCCTTATTCAGCAAAAGACCGGCAAAAATAATTAGTTTTTGTTTTTACGAGGAACATTCGTTCACGATGGATGAGCGAGCGTTTGAGAAGGTGATAAAAGAAAACAACAGCAGAGGGGTTAGTAAACTGCTGTGTCAAGAACAATATGCTCTGCGTGTACATGTTTTTGTTACCTGCTGGGGACAATGTTTGGCCATCTTCCTGGTGCACACAGCTTGGTGAGGACCCGCTGTTCCTAATGGGGACAAAAGCCCGATCCCCATTGGCAGAAATACCATTGGTGGATCAAGGGTTAGGGTTAGGACTAAGGTGTGAATTGAGTTTAGGTAAGGTTTAGGCTCAGGTATGTACCTGTGAGGTTAGTTTTAGAGTAAGGGGTTAGGGTTTAGCTGTAGAAATGACCAGTAAATGAATGGAAGTCAAGGCAAAGTCCCCATGAGAATAGAGGAACAAACACGGGTATGTCGGTGTGTGGTAAATAAATTATTTATGGTATGCTCTTCAGAAGAACAAAGTGCATCACCTGGATGCTCACTAAATAAAAACAGGACAAAGTTTCTTATTTGACCTCAGTCTATTTTTAAAAGCACATTAA